TGGTTTCTTCCACGAACTTCAAACGTTTGATGCTTATTGATGTATCTGGTTTTGCAATTAGAAGTTTGGCTTGGTTACGATTTTGGAGACGGTTTGCAGTAGATTGGAAGACTGTGTCTTACAAGGTTCACTCAAAGCTTTATGTATTTAAAAATGGTAAACCCATAGCGATAAGTGATGAATGTGGAAGGCTGATTTATTTATTGATTTGCCAAATTACCAATGTACAGTCGGGATTCATCCATGGCTTCGAAATCGGTGCATTTTATTGCTTTCGTAACACACAAGAAAGGTGACAAAGCGAAAAGTTGATCAGCAACATTTTTTGCACTCCAAAATTGTTAATATAAAGCTAGGCAAAAGTGTATTCGATTGCAGCCAAGTGCATTTTTGCTACCTAATCTTTTTGCAACAAAATGTCACTTGCTAAAATAATGAAGCTAACGAATGGATGTCACAGATGTGTTTGAAAATCATCAGGAATAGGTCGCTTTTTGACATATCTAATCGTGGGAATGAGACGCGTTCGGACTAAAAGGCTGCAGTAGGTTGTGATAGCCTCCTGAACACGTTTTATGATACCTTTGTCCGCTCCTCTGAGTCAAATTTAACATGGTATCATGCCACCAGCTTGAAGACCGAATCGCAGACCCGCATACCTAAATCCGTGCCACTGGAGTGAAACTGGCTGCACTGCGTTCGGTTGATAAGCTCGTTGCTGTCGGACACGTCTTCTCACAAATGCGGGTTCGTGTGTAATATTTAGATTCTGCCACTGTTTCACATTGCATTACTAATGTACCTAGAATGTCACAGAAAACGGAATGCCTATTCATTTGAAGTCTAGTTTGTCAGCACATCAATTTTAGCGCCTATAATTTGGTCAAGAAACTGAGATGAACTCCTATTACCTGGTAATTGTGATTTCATTGTCTAGAATCCCCTCAATTTCACAAACATGATTGGTACCAGCGGTACAGATGCAGCAGCCTATGCAAGCCGCTACCATGCAGCCTGCCAAGCCGCATATCAACACCAGTACTATGACTACCACCAGCATTACAGTAACAATGTCAATCTTCAACGGCATACTTCCGCATTCCAAGCACCCTTCAGTTATGGGTTCCCGCAACAATCGCAAAATCCCTCCACATCTGTCAACGTCACCAAACCTGCCTCTTCGGTAACCCAGGTACCGATCCAGTTCGTTTCGGATACTTTATCTACTAGGCATTTATGAGCACATATAATTTTGTAAGTCTTTATTTTTAGTCTTCAAAAACCTCAGCCATAACCAATCGGAAGACTAGGAAACGACCACCTTCAGGCACTTCAACAAAATTTGCTGCCACTGATGCGAAGAAAAGAGAAGACTTTGATAAACTTGTTCGTGCTAGGACAGACAAGTTACTTTCTGATGGACCTCTATTTGCTGTGAGCGGCCGACTAAAGTTCCCACACGTCTTTGCCTCGCTTTGGTTGCAGTTCTGGCTAAGATCGTTACTTTTTTGTCAAATTTATAGCCACTCTCAGTGAACGAAGGCATAGGAAACGCCTCGTCGACATCATCTTGCAATTCTCTCACCAATAGTACTGAAGGCGCTTCGGTAGCCGCCGCAATCGCCTCTAGTAACGCACGACTTCTTCGAACCGTGCTTGATGAGAAAATCCGTAAACTCATGACATCTCCATCTGTCCGTGGAGTGCTGCGGTCAAGGCAAGCAATGGTGGGGATGCGGAAGCGAAACAGTGAACTTTTCGCTGTACAGCTGCATTCTGCACACAGCTAGCTGGTTGTGCTATTGTGGTGAAGTCAATGGCTTTTTGTACATCTTACTGCCGATCCATGCTAGTAACTATTTTAGTGGACACTTTTTAAACCCTCAAACAGCTATTATTCCTCTGAGTGTGTGTGTGTGTGTGTGTGCAGTTGGAAGGATGTATGCGTCCATCCTAAATTTTTGTAACTATCAAAACTGTCTGTTCTT